ACAGCAAAAAAATTTTCTTCCACTATCCCGAGCTGTGCATAATGGGGCTTTCAATCCACATTTACAGTACAAACATGGCTCATATTGAAAAGTATAATTGTGAGAAGGTATTTTTGGAGAACTTGAAGAAGACCTGGAATTCGAATAAGCCATTACAGACCTGGGATGCGACTAGGGTTTCTTCTTCATTGAGCTATTGCTGCCTCACCCTCTGGAGATTTCAAACACTGGATTTGGGTTATATACACGCTGGATAGGTAAGAAATACAAGGAGGAGTGATGTTAATGCCATGTCAACTGCCATGTCACCGGAAACAAGAAGGGAAAACCGGCTAAGCGGTGAAATTGGAGACATTTGCGTTGTTAAGTGGGCTAATTGAACGTTTTTTAGGATGGGTGGCCTAATTGCACTTATGCGTTATGTTCAGTGGCCAATTTGACCCTTATTATTATTATTATTATTATTATTATTATTATTATTATTATTATTACTATTATTACTATTATTACTATTATTACTATTATTACTATTATTACTATTATTACTATTATTATTATTATTATGTGATATACAGCACATAGCTCCCTTTATTATTATTATTATTATTATTATTATTATTATTATTATTATTATTATTATTATTATTATTATTATTATTATTATTATTACTATTATTATTATTATTATTATTATTATTATGTGATATGTAATATTTATGGCTTATTAGTTCAGAGTAATGTGTGATTTTTTATGGCTTATTAATATAGATATGCAATGTGATATTAATTTGTGATATGTAATATTTAGGGAAGAAAATAGAGACTTTTTAATAAAAATTATAAATTAAAAAGTCATTTTAATTAAAGTAAATAAAATTTAAAGACTTCAACCATGCTTGCAGATGAGTGATATCGATCGTAGTTGGATGTATGGGAAACGAAATACATATGAATATATGCTAGGGGTTAAAAAATTTTCTAAAGTATGCTGAAGAAAATAAAAATAAAAATGGAGAAGAATTTTTGGTCTGCCCTTGTTATGATTGTAAGAATCTGAGGAAATTTCGTAGTTCTGAGCAAGTTAGGAGTCATTTAATATGCCGCGGCTTTAAAGAAGGTTATAACCAATGGATATGGCATGGTGAGAGTGTACTTCCTAGTACAAACACCAGTGAAAATATAATAGCTAATGATGAAGAAAATGATGTTCACCGAAAAAAAATGATGAAGAGAATGATGATGATAAAAATAATGTAGACAATGAGGAGAATGGGGAGAATGATTGAATAAATGAACTCATGCGTGATATTCGAGGAGATGATAGTGAAATGCCTCCTGTATTTGAAAGTTTCTCTATTGATTCAGAAAAACCTTTGTTCCCTGGGTGTAAAAGCTTTACAAAGTTATCTGCTGTTGATGCGGCCCAACATAATGAAGATCCATTAAGAGTACAAATTGGGCCAATCACAATATCCAAGGCCCAAATCAGCTTTATTATTTGTGGTCATCATTATTTTAAATTTTTTGGAATTAAAGAGAAAACACTAGTTTGTATTTAGAAAGGATTCCTTAAATTCCTTTCTAAATAGGACTATATTTACTTGCTTTCTAGATTAGGTTTAGGACTCTTTTTGTATTTAGAAAAGGATTCCTTAAATCCCTTTCTAAATAGGACTATATTTACTTGCTTTCTAGATTATGTTTATGACTTTTTTTCCCATTGTATTTAGGATTACAATGCTGCCCCTATACCTATAAATAGGGCACAGCCATATCAGTTTCAATCAGGCTTTAATTCAATAAAATTCTTAAGTTTTTCTTTATAAAAATAAATAAATAAATAAAAATAAAAGAGAAAGCAAAAGAAGAAGAAGGATAAGGTTGGGGAAAGAATAAGGTTGATAGGAGAATCTTGGAGGGAAAAGGAAGGGGAAAAGTATAAGGTTGGAAGGATTTCTTGATAGATTCCTATTTTGTTGTGGTATAGTTGAACCCCTCTTACATTCTATTTGTCTCTATCTGTTGATATTGGTCTTGCATATCTTTCTGCCATACTTCCTTCTTTGGTTCCCTTTTTTCTTTCAAATCTTGCTTAGTTTCTTTGCTTGTATTGTCCTTTTTCTTTGCTTCTTACTCTCAATTTTATTACCTACCTCGCGATACACCTTACTCTCAAAGGCTTGTGAAGTTTTCCAAGGTACGTTATCTTGAACTTTATGGTTGAATCCATATCAACTTGAATTCCGGAGTAGAATTTTCCTTTTCAGAAAAAGGCTTGTGAGAGTATCTGCCACCTTGAGCAATACACGAGTGGAGTGTGTGTTTGTAAGAGTGTGTAGTGCACCCTCAGAGCTATATAATCCACCTTTTAGCTGTGAACTGAGAATAGAGAGGGAGCGAGCCAACTTTTTGGTTTCACTAACATGAATACTCACATATCTTCTTGTTTTAAGATTTTGTTTCTCATCTACAGATGACTGAAGAGGTTCCAAACACACGTAAGATATTAGAGCAGAAAATAGATGCTCTAGCCTTTTCCATGGAAGGTTTAAGCACTCGAATGACTAATCTAGAGCAACACCCTATGCGAGTGAAACTACCACTCTATACTAGGGGAAACATTCATGGAAAGGGATGCATTATCGTTATCAATTCGGATCGTTGTATGAATTTAGCTAGTGCATCCATGGTGGACTACCTTAAGTTACCTCTTATCAATCACCCCCAACCATACAATCTTATTGATTCAGGGGACGTGAGAGTGACTAAACAAGTTTTTATTCCTTTTTATATTGGCAAGTATTATGATGAGGTTCTATGTGATATTGTGCCAATGCGTACTGCACATGTTTCACTTGGAAGGTCATGGCAACATGATAGACATTTTTATTATAATGCACTCAACAACACATGCAATGTCACATATAATAGATTTATACATGTGCTTAAGCCTCTACTTCCAAAACAAGTAGAAGAAATTCAACTGAGATCGAAGCAAGCTCTCAAACCAGCCTTGAAGAAGGAAGAAACCAAAGAGAGCAAACTGGAACCTCCACGTTTAGAATTGGAGTCACCACTCCAGTCCTCTAACTTAGATTGTAGCCAAACAAAGGAACCGCTATCAGTGGTACAGTGGAAAGAACCAGCCAGAGCAATCAAAGTGCAGCCTCGCTTGCTAACAAAAAAAAAAGATAATAAGCAAGAGATAAAAAGGGGAGTAACTATTTACTCACTTTTATTTCAAAAGCATGCATTAAAATTCTCTAGATTTGTTTGCAATGTTTCTATTAATGACCTACTTGCTAGATGTGTTAGAAATTTGTTTGCCTCCATACATCCAAGATTCCTTAATTTTGATTTTACTAAAACTTTATTTGATAGATATAAGGAATCACTTGGAAGTTATAAGGAACATTTGAAAACTTCTTATGGCAAATACTACTTGCACAAGGGGTTTTGGTTCAAAGTCAATGGGATTGGCACTTTTTGCTTTGTTTTGGCCAATGATTTAATTGTTGAGTCACATAAGGGACATTTTGATTTTCCAAAGAGTGATGATGTTTTGCATGGATATTTTCATTGGCCAAAGAAGAAAAAAGATGTAGAATCTTATATTCAGAATTGCACTACTTACCACCATAATACATCTAAATCATTACTTGATATTTCCATGAATTTTCTGTTTGATTTTACCTTAAGCTCTAGGAGGAAAGATTTTGTGCTTGTTGACAATTCAAACAAGATGCCTAAATTTAATATGTCTCATTTTGTTGAATTATTGCCATCCAGAAAGTTTAAATTCCATGATGTGTCATTAGACTTAATTGCCTTACTTGTTGATTGTAGGATGATGATTGGAGCGACTCGTGTCAAGCATCCCAAGAAAAAGTTCCATGAGTGTGATAAAACAGAAAGTGAGCTTGCTACTTTGTCTTTCATTGAAGATTTGAATTCGAGGGCGAATCCTTTTCAAGAATTGGAGAATAATAGGAACCAGTACACACATAATCCAGTAAGGGTAAATAGTGGGCTCATCACAAGGACCATAACTACATCCTTAAAGCATCAATGGTGAAAGAAACAAGAAAGTCCAATAAAAATTCCATTCGATAGAGGAAAGTATTATAAGTGGCCCGTTTCAAGTGATGTCACAGATCGAAGACAATGTTTAGAAGATTCGAGGTCGAATCATTTTTCAAGAAAGGGAGGATGATGCGGCCCAACATAATGAAGATCCATTAAGAGTACAAATTGGGCCAATCACAAGATCCAAGACCCAAATCAGCTTTATTATTTGTGGTCATCATTATTTTAAATTGTTTGGAATTAAAGAGAAAACACTAGTTTGTATTTAGAAAGGATTCTTTAAATCCCTTTCTAACTAGGACTATATTTACTTGCTTTCTAGATTAGGTTTAGGACTCTTTTTGTATTTAGAAAAGGATTCCTTAAATCCCTTTCTAAATAGGACTATATTTACTTGCTTTCTAGATTAGGTTTATGACTCTTTTTCCCATTGTATTTAGGATTACAATGCTGCCCCTATACCTATAAATAGGGCACAGCCATATCAGTTTCAATCAGGCTTTAATTCAATAAAATTCTTAAGTTTTTCTTTACACTTGTGTAAGAAACCTTATGGATAATTGTGGACTCAATTAGTGGCTAGTCGTGGACTCTACTAGCAAATTGATTCGTGGACTCGAATCAATCTTCCTTTCTTCAACCTTAGATTTAGGTTCGTGGACTCGTTCTTGAATCGAAGGAAACTAGATCCGACTCTAGTTGATTGAAGATTGCATCATCGAGGTACTTGAAGCTACAATGGGATTCTTCCAAGTCTTTGAGGATTCGAGACAAAGGGTTTCTCGTGAGGTTTAAGGTATTTCGATCCATCTCTATCTTTGCATTGAGAGTAATCTTGGGACAATATTCCATCTTTATTTGAAACTTGGACTAGGTTCATATCAGCTGTGTTAAAATTATATAACTTAAAAGCAATGAATGGATGGAGTGATAAGAGCTTTACACAGTTATTAGAACTTTTTAAAAAGATGCTTCCTGATGATAATGAGCTTCCTATTTCAACTTATGAGGCTAAGCAAATGTTGTGCCCGTTGGGTATGGAGATCAAGAAGATACATGCACGTCCAAATGATTGTGTATTATATTGGAAGGAATATTGTGACTTGCATGTATGTCCAAAGTGTGGAGCATCACGTTATAAGAGAAAAAATGGTGTTAATGGGTGTGAGGATAAGAAAAGCCCTCCAGTGAAGGTGTTATGGTATCTACCTGTAATACCAAGATTCAAACGTTTATTTGCAAATCCAAATGATGCAAAGAATTTGCAGTGGCATGCTAAAGGGAGAAAAGAAGATGGAAAATTAAGACACCCAGCCGATTCTCCTCAATGGAGGAACATTAATAGTATGTTTCCTGAATTTGGCAATGAAAACAGGAATCTTAGGCTTGGGTTATGCACCGATGGAATGAACCCCCATGGTAACATGAGTAGTCGACATAACACTTGGCCGGTCCTTTTGGTAGCTTACAATATTCCTCCTTGGTTGTGTATGAAGCGCAAGTACATGTATCATTGTTGATTTCAGGGCCTAAACAACCTGGGAACAACATAGATGTGTACTTAGCACCACTTGTGGAAGATTTGAAAATGTTGTGGGATGAAGGCGTGATGGTGTTTGATGCATATAGTCAAACAAACTTCACTTTGCGGGCCATGTTATTTTGCACAATAAATGATTTTCCAGCATATGGTAACTTGTCGGGGTATACTACAAAAGGAGCGAAGGCATGCCCTATTTGTGAAGATGAAACAACTGATCTTTGGTTGAGTAATAGTAGAAAGAATGTATTCATGAGTCATCGAGTCTTTCTCCCTACTAATCATCCTTATCGAAAGAGGAAAAAGTGTTTCAATGGAAAAACTGAGACTCGTGTGGCTCGCTTTCCATTATTAGGGCATGCAATTTATGAACGAGTAAAAAATATTAATGTTGATTTGGGCAAAACGTCCAAACATGCTGAAAAGGGTATATGGAAAAAAGGTCAATTTTTTGGGATTTACCATATTGGAAACATTTATCTGTGCGGCATTGTCTTGATGTGATGCATGTAGAGAAAAATGTGTGTGACAGTATTGTTGGGACGTTATTAAATATCCAGGGTAAAACTAAAGATGGCATTAAAGCTAGAAAAGATATGGTAGAAATGGGAATACGAGATAAGTTAGCACCACAAGAATCAGGAAAGCGAACATACTTACCTCCAGCTTGTTATACTATGTCTAAAAAAGAGAAAAATTTTTTTTTTGTGGATGTTTGAATGATGTGAAGGTTCCTTCAGGTTACTCGTCCAATATTAAAAAACTTGTGTCAATGAAGGATTTGAAGTTGATTGGTATGAAGTCTCATGATTGTCATGTTTTAATGCAACACATGTTACATGTTGTTATCCGAGATGCCTTACCAAATGATGTTAGACATGCCATTACAAAGATTTGTTTCTTTTTCAATGTCATTTGTAATAAAGTTGTTGATCCAGAGATGTTGGATGATTTGCAGGCAGATGTGGTAGTGACTCTATGTCAATTTGAAATGTATTCCCCCCCCCCCCTCCCCCCCCCCCTCCTCCTCATATTTTGACATTATGGTGCACTTAATTGTTCACTTGGTGAGAGAAATTAAATTGTGTGGTCCAGTATTCTTAAGGTATATGTATCCGTTTGAGAGATACATGGGGATACTTAAAGGATACGTGAGAAACCGATTTCGACCAGAAAGTAGTATCATTGAAGGTTATGCTGCTGAGGAGGTGATAGAGTTTTGTACTGATTATTTGGAAAATGTTGAATCTATTGGTGTTCCTAAATCTCGCCACGAGGGTAGACTTACAGGAAAAGGTGTTATTGGGAATAAAACAGATATACCAAGTGCTGATATGCGTGATAAAGCTCACCAACTTGTATTGTAACATATATTTGATGTTCATCCATACTTAGACGAACACTTGTCCATGTTAAGACATGAAAATCCTTCAAAGGGTGAAATATGGGTGACCAATGAGCACAACCGCACATTTATGAGCTGGTTCAAAGATAGAGTGATGCGAGAGTTATCTAAAGTGCCAAATAAAATCAGTGAAACCATTAAGGTATACAATACTTTGACATATTGACTTTTACCTTATTAATTATTGACTATTGATTTGATAATTTAATATACTTAAAAATAAGTATTGACTATTGTTTTTTTTCTTTGATTTGAAACCATTAGTGGTTAGCATATGGCCCTGCTATGCTTGTCAGTTATTACGAAAGATATGACATTAATGGATATACGTTTTACACAAAACGTCAAGATGATAAGAGTATTGTGTAAAATAGTGGAGTTACAATAGTAGCATTATCTAGAGATTACTCTAGTGCTAGAGATACCAAGCCAGTAGATGCTGCTATGTCATATTATGGTGTGATTGAAAACATTTGGGAACTTGATTATAAGGCTTTCAGTATTCCTCTATTCCAGTGTAGTTGGGTGGATAACAAACGGGGTGTTCGAATTGATGAATTGGGTTTTACTTTGGTAGATTTTGGTCGATTGGGTTATCAAGATGAGCCATTTGTACTTGCATCTCAAGCAAAACAAGTCTTTTATGTTTCTGATCCTATTAATAGTAAGTGGTCAGTAGTATTAGAAGGAAAACGAAGTATTGTTGGCGTTGGAGATGTTGTGGATGAAGAAGAATATGATCACTATGATGAAATGCCTCCGTTTTCTATTGGTATTCAACCTTTAGGGGAAGATGTCATTGGAACAAGCTATATGCGTTGTGATCACGGGGAGGGCTTGTGGGTTGATCATCACACATAATCTATTTGTTAAAAATGTGTAAGTTTATTTGCTTGGCGTATTGATTATTATTTATTGAAATTTTCATTAATGCATCAAAATATTGACATATATTTTTGCATGTGTAGATAAAACATCATGGTCAATCATTTGCATTCTACTTCAAATCTACTTCAGATTCTAAATCACACCCGAAGACTAGAGGTCCGACAACCTGCAAGAAATTGAAAAAGAAGAAGGGGGATGAAGTAATAAATATTGAGTTTGATGAGTATCATAGACCGGTCGGCGAGTTCGGGAAGAGCTTCAAGTTCTACATTGGCACTTTGGTTCGGTTGCATGTGCATATCAATATTAGTGATTGGCATCAAGTTGAGAAAGGATTGAAGGATACAATATGGGATGATATTAAGGTATACAATACTTTTAGAATTTAGTATCTTAATATTTTACTTTCCTATATTGGTTTGATACCTACTTTATTTATTATTCCTTTTCCTAGGTTTAGTTTCTTAGACTAGCTTGTTTACTAGAAATACAAAATCTACCCTCCCACAAAATTCCACAGGGAACCCCTCACCTTGTATGTCTCTTACCCCTATTGGCCATTAATTTCGATCTTTTCTTTCATTTTTTTTTTGTGTGTCTATGTGCAACCAGAAAGTGTTCAACATTGAAGATGATCAATTCAAAGAAACAATATTAAAGGTTGCTGGACAGCGGTGGAAGGATTTCAAAGCGAGATTAACCCGTGAGTACATTAACAAGAAGCACCCAAAATATGAATCTCCATGTGAATTTTATACTCACTTGACTGATGCACAATGGAATACTTTTAAAGCAAGCCGCATGACAGATAAGTTCAAGGTATATTTAATTTTTTTTTTTAATAATTCCTAACTCTCCCAGCAAATAATATTTTCCAGAAATTCCAGAACCATTGAGCCATACAACTCAATTACCAAACCTCCATTGGTCCACCAAGCTACATGGACCCTTCCCCGATATTCTAGCCAGAATTCCAGCCTCTTTCCTTACTTATAATCCCAGAACTCAAACCAAATCCCAGAGCCATACCTGCCATCTATATGCATTTTATTCCCAGTATTCCAGAACCAAAATAAGGGGAAAACAACAGCAGCCCTCCACCATTTAAGGCTTCTAATTGCTGCTGCTTTACAGGCATGATTCTTTGCCTACTACTTCTCTATTCAACTTGCACCATTACACTCATCCACTTAAGACAAACAAGCAAACATTTAATCCCCTTCCAGCCCAAACAAAACTGCTGCATGTTTTTGCAGCTCAGAACAACCTCCATTCATGATAATAGTTTGAATGTCTTATTATTAAAATTACCATATCTCTTAAATTATTGTTTTATAGGAAATAAGTGGAAAAGCAAAGGCAAGGCAACAAAAAAATCTACATCCACATTATTTAGGACCGGCTGGATATGCAGGTAAAACGCCACAGTGGCTTGTAACAGATCCTATTTCATCTCAATCTTCTTGTGCATCTATTAGCTCGACGCTTGCGCTAAATGACCGTGGTCTAGATTGGATTCGAGCAAGATCTAAAAAAGGAGATGATGGAAAGGACTACATTCCTAATGACAAAACAATAGGGGTCATTCAAAATATTGTAAGTTATTACTAATAGGAATAGTTTACGTAAATAATTTAATAATAACGTTAATGCTAATATATAGTTTAATTATTTATTGAAATAGGTTGAGAAGTGTGAGAAAGTTAGCCAAGGGTCATTTACTTAACCCTTACAGACATCATGATGTATTGTCAGAAGCCCTTTGTAAGAAAGACCATTCAGGCTCCGCGAGAGGCGTTGGTTCATATGTATCTATTAGGAAAGTGTTTGGAAAACCAGAGAAGAGTAGGGAAAGACTGAGAGGAGTTCTTCCAGTGGATGATGTCCAAGCTTTGGTTGAAAAAGTAAGGCAAGAAACAATGTTAGCAATGCAACCTACGATTGAGAACCTAAACAGTCAAGTTCAGGACTTAATGAAACGAATGCCCCCACCCTCACATGTTGACCTTAGAGCTTCTGCGGGCACGCCACAAAGTGTGTTTAAGGTTGTTGATCCACCAGTTGTTCGTAGTAGTTGCCAGTCGGTGGATCCATACACATTTGCCCTTATTGAGGTAATATTAAATGTTTATAATATTAAAAATGTATCCATTTGTCATGCTTTATTTATTTTGTTATCTTGTGTTAAATGATAGAGTCCGACTCCATGTCGTCTTGCCTTATGTAGTGGTGAGGATAACATAGTAGTAGTTACAAGAGGGATGGTCTACCCAACTCAATTTGACACGTTAGTGCGCAACCAATTAGTGTTACCAAATCATGTTAAGGTGTCAGTGGATCGAGTGATTGTTGAGGGGAAGAAACATTTCTTCTACCGTACCCACTCAAGACTATACACAGATCGGAGATGCCTTTGAAAGTTTTGTACAGTGGCCTATACATTTAGTTGGTATAGGAGAGGTATGAACTTATATATATATATATATATATATATATATATATATATATATATATATAATTTATTGGATTCCTATTATTTGTAGCTATTAACATAATTACAAATTCTTCTCTTCATAGGAAGAGATAGTGATGAAGGCAAAAGTTGAAAAGAGAACAATGAATGAAAAGAATTATGACTATGGAGAGGAATCATGTACTAGAGTACGACCCAATTTAGTTGATGATGATACCTTGAAGAGCTTGGGGTTTGAGTGCAATTGGTTGCACAATTTGCTTCGATCGATGCCTAATGATACGGACTACTTTGAATTGGAGTTAGATTCTAATATCTTTCACCATACGAATGTGAGAAGCATATTCGTGATGATGAATGATATTAAAGACTTGTTGACAATGCAATGGCTTGATGTATCCATTATACAAGTCTTTATAATGTAAGTTTGTATATTCGTTAATTTGAAAATCTTAATTATTTAGTAATGTATTACTTAATGATATTAGTGTATTATTTAATGATTTTTCAGGTATCTTCACCGATTGTGCAATCAAATTGGGGTTGACTCAGTTGGATTTTTGTGTCCAACACAAATAGCAAAGGTAACTCTTGATTTGAATTGTGATGTTGTTACTGCATATATTAGAAATACTATGGTCACATTGCTGGACAAGACATTCATTTTAGCACCATACAATCAATCGTAAGTAATCTATTTTTCTGTTGTGTTTATATAAGTGAATTTGAATTATTACTAATTAAATGTGCAATGTATGTATTTATAAATTGTAGAGAGCATTGGTTGCTTCTAGTGATTAATGTTTGTTCGAGGATGGTATATGTTTTGGATCCTTTGGAACGTGACCAGGATATACAACTCAAGCCTGTGGTGAATATGTAAGTAAAAGTATATTTGTATATAAAATTATTTATATTAGGTGTTATAATTTATGAATTGTGTTTATACATTAATGTTATAGGGCATTCCGATCATATATGAATCAACGGGGTCAAAGAGCAAAAAATCTTGCTCAATGGAAGAATGTTAAGGTAAAAGAAAACAATGCTTACTAGCTTCTTCTTTTTTTTTTTTTTTTTTTTTTTTTAGTTGTTAGCTTGATTACAAATGAAATAATATTTATTTTATTTTCATTTGTTTTTTTAGTGCCCTCAACAACCGGGAGGTGTTGAGTGTGGATACTATGTTATGAAATATATGCACGATTTATGCACAAAGTATTCCACATATACTTCTTTGGATAAGGTACATATAAAATGATATAACCTAAGTATTTTTTTAATAAATTAATTATAATTTATTACTAAAACAATTAATAATTCTGTTGTAGGTGTTTCAAGATCGCACAATGCCATACTCTATTGAAGAAATAGACGAGATTCGTGAAATGTGGGCTAAGTATTTTTGTAAAGAATGTGTATAATGTCATATATTTTGTGCATGTTTTGACGAAGTATGTACTTAATTAGATATTAATGGTTGGATTATATCTATTGTAGTTTGGAGTATATTATATTATGTTGTAGCTAGTTTGGATATGATGGTAGATTTTGTAATTTTGATTATATTGTGGATTATGCAATATAATATAATTGGGTCG